GCAAATACGCCGGTGCACGTCAGTTTTTCTGATCGGTATCGCGTAAAGTTCACCCGCACGCGAACACTCTGTTACGAACGGTGGCTATTGTTTCGTTTAATTAGGTTCATTTGCGGCTGGACTGCGAGCATGGTCACGGCCAATTATGCTCGCGTCGAACGCGTGTCGCGTGGGTTTAAATCCCACGAGCGACTCCTTCGAATGCGTTGTAAAATGGTTCGCTGAACCACGATTACGATTTATAGTCATCGAGTTCACTGTCCTCGCTAAAAAATTGCAGCTAATTAGAATTAAATACCGAGTAAACATGAAAAGTATAAATTGATACGATTTGGAGATGTCATTAACCCCCAATTTGTAATATTAATACATCAATGATCGTAATAATATCAATTTACTTGTTCATACATGCCAGATATATCGTTACATCGAAGAATGCTTGTTCCATTTAATCAGATTTTACCATTCACGGGTTAATTTATATATTCATATAACTTCCGTGTATTTAAACGCGATGTATCGAATCGAACGTCGAGAGTATCGTCAAGAGACGTCCATCCCCGAGCCACAATTTCTAATCTCGATCCCGATTCAGCACGGTCTGCGTCCGTCCAAATTTCTAGGCCATCGATCCTCCCTCCCCGACCGTGCAAAAATAAAATACATAAATCTGATTATCGAATCTCGTCGGAGAACAAAGAGCAAGCGAGCTCGGCGATAATCTCTTTAGCCGAGGCAGCGAGTCTATTTTAAATCTGAAGCGATTCAGACACCTGTTATATCTCTAACCCGTTATCCGTGCATCGTCGACGCTCTTCGAGGGACCACCCTTAGCGTTGATCTTGCAAAAAACCACGGCTGCCTCTCGAGCATCGCTTGGCACGTCCAAAAATTTCATCCTCCCCCCCGGCTACGACACGAATTGGCCAGAATCCAGTCGAGTCTCGGGGTTTATCAATTTCTAAAATTCCCCACCGTCGGTTTTCTTTGCATTTTTCGATATTTCGAGACGTTTCGAGTCCACGAATAACGCCGCGAAACGATCGCTGCAACCCGACAGGCTTCATTGTGTTCGGTTCCTAACAGTTGGCAACTCACGTTTTGTGGTGCTCTCGAGTCGGACATGCTTGTCACATTCTCCTGTTTATCACTCTCCGAGACACTATTTCCAGGTAAGTTATGATGTTTCTACATATTTCATGGTAACAGTTTCTACAGTAAACGTGCATGATATACGCGACGCGGTAACATAATTCTCAAATTGGTACGATAAAGTTAACCCCTTGGCGTACAATAACGTGTCTAACTCGTTACAATTTTTTATATAATATAATAAAAATATAATAAAATCAACACAAAGTTTTGGAATCTTATCTTGGCAACCAAAGATAATTTTACTATAATTGATTACTTCGAAATGGACTGAATTTCGACGATATCCACGTATCGAGCGTTTCGATTATACCCAACCTAAATTAACGAAGGTTCCGTGAAGCATGATCTGGCAGAGGTTTCGAGGAACAGTGGCAGTTAACGTGTTACAGGGTTCCTGGATCTGGTTTTACGGTTTTCCGTTCAGGGAAGGTCGCGATACCGATCGTTCGGGGAAGACCATTTCGCGTACGGTTAATTCGCCAGTAATGTCTGTTCCACGTGCGAGCGTCTGGCACGCGAACGATAATAGCGCGAGGCGAAAGAGCCCTGTTGGTCTCCCGAGGGAACAATCTTGGCTCCGTGGCAGCCAAGTATCTTCGATTAATTGGTATCGTCTGAACTTTGGTTTAATAGCTCGGTCACGGTAGTTGGACATTAGGCTACCTCGAGATACCGGGGGACCTTTGAGAAACGGCGTTCGCTGATCACGGAACGGGGTCACGAATTTGTAAGGAAAACCAGTTATCGCATGGTAAATTATCGACGATCGTCTTTACTCGCGATTAAGGACACAGTTTCGTGTAAGCTACTTCAGGGATTTTATCTTTATCGCCTGCAATGGGCTGGGAGAACAAATTTCATCCGCAAAAGTGTTCGTTTGGAGTGTGAAACCTGTTATTAATAAATCTGTTTGTGCATAATGGAAGGCTCTGGTACAATCTCCAAATGCAACATGAATTGTAGACGAAGTCAAGATCACACTTAGATATTTACAAAGGAATTTAATTACTGCAGATTAAAAGAAATAAGTCACAGAAACTTCTACTCGATAAGACCTCTAATCACGACCCACGCCCACGCTGCAATTTCTCGTGATCTTGACCATCAAAATCTCTCGATCGAACACCGGCTGTGGAGAACTCGAGGAGCAGTCTCGCGCGAGTAATTTTCATCATCCAAACGTCGCACGATCAAACCAAACCCCCGCAAAGACCATCGTGAAACGGGCCAAGCGACGTCGCGGATAAAAGCGTTCTGCTCGGATCTGGGCGGCGTGTACGAGCGCGGATGTACACAGGTGGTCGCAAACGTTCGAGCCCAGCCTAATTATCCACGGAGGCACGAATCGCACGGGTAATTAGCCAGGGAATTGCCGAACACCGAGTTACATACAGGCGATTGGCTCCCGGCGTAACCGATACGATCCGTCTCGCTCGTCTTTCCCGCGTTCCGCGCCGTCGCTTTTTTTCCGCGCCGTCGCGTCCGCGAATTTTCCACCGCCATTAATTCGAGAATAATGAGAATAAAAAACCACATTGCTCTCGACCGATGCTGGATTTAATTTCTTGAATTTTCTTAACATCTGAAAGACTCCTGTATATCTTTGGAACCAAAATGGTGTCGTTCGTCGCGCGCTGCAGCCAGTAACTCTCGACGCGCTTCTACAAGGCTTAATGACTTCCGAGGGGGTGGAAAAGTTGCAGTTTTCTTTCCCCCCGAGTTCGTTCCGTCGAGGGGACGAGGGATGCAAAAATGGAGTCGACGGGGCGAGGCCGCGGCGTGCATATGTCGGATTTATGGTGGTCATAAAGGACGTCGGGGCAACGTGCTCGCGAAACTTTCGCAGTTGTACTCCGTGGACGAAGTTCCGCGCGGTCGGCACGCGTGTACGTGGCGGACCGTATAGTTTCCACGACGCGGAGGCATAAACCCGGAATATACGGTCGTATCTCGCGCGCCGATGTTCCGACGTATGCTAATTTTCCGCGGGAATTAAACTAGCATCGCGCGCCCGCGTTAAACGAGCCTCGATGTTCTCGAGACAATCGCCTTTCGGGGTAGTTTGCCCTTCTACCCCCGAAGACACCTTTGTTCGATAGACACGAGTATATCTTTGCACTCTGCGGCGATGGTTCTTTTTATTATCGAGGCACTCGATAATTGCACCATTTTGAGATATTATAATTCCGCATAATTCTGCCTGGAGTTCGGTGGTTCGAGTTATAATATTTCCTTTCGTTCGTAGAATTAACGGGCAAAGTACGTAAATCCTCGCGGATGAGAGTATGTTGTGCGCTTGACAGGCCGATAGTATCCAGAGTGTGGAAGCGTAAACTCGAAATATACGACGAACGCTCGGAAGAGTGTCTCTCGTCAGAATAGGGGGTAATTTTCGGTAGAGATTAACTTGCCAGTCGACGTTCCAAACGTAAAACCAACGCCCCCGATCCGTTCCATGAAAATTCACCGGCGGATTTTCGCTCGAATTAAAAATTTACTAATTTTTAAAATCTGGATAAGAATATTGCCCTTGATCGTTACGAGGTACCCGATTTTAGTTCGAGGAGCGAAATAATCGTGAATTGTTGGGATCTTAACGAATTGCCGGCGATCGGAAATAATGCTGGTTCCATTTCCAACCCTTATAATATAAGAAATAGTTCTGCTACGTCCGACCACAGCAACCTGTCACGAACACCGCCACTCGCCTTTAGCTTTGACCGTCTCTTTTCAGCAAATTGCACTCTGTTCGAGGTTCGTCGGAAGCAGCGAACCGTGAGGACACTTAGTTAACGAGCTGCTGCAGTTTAACGGGCGAGGGCTGCGCCGGGATCCCATAATCCCGAGCGTAATCCTGCTGCCCGTTCAGGGATGCTGACCTTTCGGAGCCTAAATGTCTACCAGTCTGCGGTATCGACGATGCGAGCTGCATTTCTCCGGAACGCGTACTCTTGCAAGATACCTACGCTGAAACGTCCACTGTGCCACCCAATAATATTGCAAAACAATAACAGAATATAATATCAAAATCCTGGTATTATTTTTTACAGCAAACACGACGAAGAGAATTATTTTAAAGGCCTCCATTTTGGACCAAAGCTTAGGAAATCGTTGCTAAAAAATTTCACAAATAGTTTTCGCGTAACAAAATTCCAAAAAACGACCTACTTTCTCACGCGTCCAGACTAGAGAAAGCCTGGAAATTCGATGTAGATCAACTATTCGAAATCGAGATCGTGTACTCATTGGGAGATGGTGCTCGTGGCAAATATCGATGATTCTTTTTGGGGAAGTACCGTGGACGAGATTTCCAGAGAAGCTCGAGAAGAACCAGGCCCGAGCCATCGAAGCTGGACGAGTGTAACGGCGAATTTGCCACCATGTTTTCCACGCGACGCGTTTATTCACTCTCGTTGCTTTATTGGATTCCAATATTGCCCACTGGTTATTCTCCGTTTATAATTTCCACCGTCGGGTCGGAACGCGATGGCGTCGGGGTCGATGGGGGAGCTTTCCACGTGCCCTTTGCGACGCTCGAATAAATATATTTTCACGATCTATTGGACGCCTCCCTTTACGGTTACGGTGCTTTAATGGACACGCGGAAATTCACCCTGAATTCCGCGCCGATTCGTGCATTAAATTTTTACCATCGAAACCGTGCAACGACGCTATAAATCGCCGGGATTCGACTCTATTTCGAGGAACTCGACGCAATATTTGTCGGAATCCCGAAACGATTCGCACGTAAAGGACGTATAATTCTTATCGACGGTGCACACTCGCTGCTATTTCGTTCTAAACATTTCAATTTTACCGAGGAAGAAAGCGTAAGCAAAACTTACCGATATTTTGATGCTGCAATTTTCTGCATATCCGCGCCTCGCGTTCGAGCTTTTGAAAATCTGAAACAGAAGAGACAACAATCTCTAAATACCATTGTAAAGTACAGAACGATGCCTAATCGTTCGATCCTTTTTATATTCCTGAAATTCAGAACCTTAGATCCAGAATATTGTTAGTTCTATCGCAAATTAACCGAGGAGCCAAATTGTGGATAAAGGCTGGAGGAAATTCGTTTAAAAGACGGATCGTGCCATTTAGGCGATTAGACGAGCATCTGTGACAGTGAAACACGCGATCGAGGCTCGAAACACACGCTACGGATATCCGCGAGCCTCGCTCGCATTCCGATTTGGATCCGGGCGAGCTTTATCGCGAAAGTTTCGCGGTAACGACAGCCAATGCTGAGTATAGTCATTACCGCGAAATCGACTTTCCCAACGAGGTCCCTTGACGAGTTTCCTCGTGGGTAATTCACCAAGGACCGCGATAAAATTGGATTTGTCGGTGGCCGGGTCATTTCGAGGACGATTTCCTGTTTCCTTTCTATGTACGCGGCCCTGAACGGCTGCCCCTTCGAAAATCGATGACCGATTCTTCCGTTATCGAACGACACCGATGCACCGGCGATTGATTAGGCCACTATTCCCATCAGGAACGCTTAAAAAAATCAAACATCTTTTTATCGAATTCCCCGAACGCCTACGCGACTTTTTTCTGTCGAATTTTCTTTACGCGCGAATCCATTCATTGAATTTTCCGAGTGTATGTACCCTTCGATCGCGTTATTACATTTCCTGGAAGCACGTATTCTTGAAAATATTCCTTAAAAGGGGTCCTTGAATTTTCCGAACGTATGTGCCTATGAATTTTTTATTGGAATTTTTCCTATCGAATTTTTCTGATCTTCGAATTTTTTTTATTGAATTCTCTGGGACTATGTATTATTCGTGAAAGTACGTTCCTTTGAGACTGCATATCCTTGAACTGTTTTATTGGATTCTTTTGGAGAATGTATCCTTGAAAGCGTGCGCTATGAATTTTACGCCGATATAGGAAAAATTATCGAGGCTGCACAACTTTGAAGAGAACGACACGCACGGTGACAAGCAGATATAACGTTGCGTTCTTGACCTTTTGGGGAGAATAGCCACGGGACAGGATTGAAAAAGTCGCAAACCAGTCGCCAGCTCGTTATCATAACATTTGTCGAAGCAGTACGAAATTAAATTGAATTAAATTAAATTTTCTCAAAAGGTTGTTTCGATCGATTGCCGTTTGTAAAAATAAGCCAATCGCGTCAGATGTTAAAACCATTGTTTGGAGCGTTGAAATTTATATTTCTGAAGCTTTCCAAGGAAGAAAAATTCCAATAACGGGTTAAGTAATCGCCTTCCTGATGGGAATCGAGCCATAAATGGAACGCTTCCGGCTACGCGTTTCGAATCTACGCCCATTAATACGCTTACTGCTGTCACGCATCGTTTACGTCTGTCGATTTCCACGGAATAATACACTAAAATCCGCAATAGATTGATCCGCCGTAACGTAAATGACGAAAATTACAGCGTCCAGCGATTACAATTTCGTTCGAACCTAGAGCGAAATTAAGGGAGGAAAATGAATTCCAGGATTCGAGTGCGAACTCCTCGGGGCGATCGAGGGTTGAAAAACGTCATACCCCGTTGCGTGATATTTTATTTGTACCAATAACGTCGATCGTGGCCGCGAAAAGCCATTTATTGTTTAAACTCGATAAGTCGCCACGTCGAAATAAAGCGACGATAAATTTGAATCGTTACGAAATTGAACCGATCTATTTATTTCTTACTCTTGTCGGCGCGCAGGATAAATTGCCGCAATTTTTCGGTAATATTTTCAGGAATATTATTGTTGTTATTTATTTGTAAGTGGACTGGTAGTTCTTTACGCGCATAACACTTTAACGAGAAAAATGGATATCGAAAATTTACGACGGTCGCGTGCACTGGAGTACCGTTACTCGGAGCAAGTAGAAACATCGTAGAATGGTCAGACGCGCCGGGCAAGTAGAATTCAATATGTAAATTCAATTATCTCGAAAACGGAACATTATACGGGAAAATTTTATTCCACGTATTCGATTCTCTTTTTCACACAGATTATTAATTTCTCCCTGTATAAAATATTCCAAAAGAAACAGAATCGATACATTACAAACAAAAACTAAAGAAACTAAGTCCCCCTCGTCGTATTTTTTTTTTGAGAGAAAATATAATTTCAGTCGGTGGTGGTTCGACCAGAGCCAAAAATGGCGGTGAAAATGTATACAGGATGTTCGTTTCGTGCGTGAACCAGGACATTTCTCCTGATTTGCTCGCGCACGTTCACCACCGCCTATAATTAAATCTCCGGGCGCACCGAGCCTCCCCCACGGTCTTCGTCCCACCCCAGGAGCCACATTAAACAACCAGAATTAACGAGCACCTACGACGCGACAAGGGTCCACGAAGAACACTGGAGGCGCACGAGGAGAAGCAAATTGGAGGACGGACCACTTGACGGGGGAGGGAAAAAATAAAAGAAAAAAAAGCAAAAAAAATCGTGAAACTAGGTTATTCGACAACGTCGTTTCCCTTCTACGAGCGATTCCAATTGCTCGTGCCTCGTCGCGGGACGAAAGAACCGCGAATTCGGGGTTAAACCAAGCGGACCGCGAGACCGCGCTAAAAATAATATTTTTCTAGCCAATTTCTGGCAGCGAGCTCTCGAGAACCGTCGTTAGCCGCGACCATAAAATTAATTGGACGCCAATTGGTGTTTTTCACGGACGTTTGCTTCGATTGATTCGAACTGGTATTGTTTGTATCATCCCTTGAATTCGTTCGAGGGTTCGAAAGTACCCCCATCGAAATCTACGTTATGTCTTAACAGAATTTGGGTTCAAAACATCGTTTGCTACATTACTGACGAGCTAAAGGTACCTTCGATGGTTGAAAAAAATCGTTAAGGGATGGTAGAATTAAAATAATCGTGGTTTCTTGCTAAAAACCGAATTATTCCAGCAAATAGCGCGCCTCTAGAACTAGCTTCGTTTCAGCCAGATTAAGATACAATCGTCGCTACTGGTGGCCCCTTTCTCGCCATCTGAGACCCTTTATCGTAAAAGCCTCGCCACCGCAACTTGCAGATTAACAAACAGATTGTGCAAACAGACTCTAACATCGAATCCTCGCGGAGGGAGTTTGTCGAGTTGCGTTCCACTAGATTCCAAGACGTTCGATCCCATCCTCGTTCTGGGGCTGAAGGGCCATCGAAATTAAAATACGCTTCGTTGCCAAGTCACGATAACGACGTGCTTAACCCCTCCGTTCTACGATTTGTTCTCAAGCAAATGTACTCAGACTGTTTCATTTTATCGCAGCGTCCACGATTATTACAAATAAAATTAATATCGTTGTCACTTAAGGGGTTGAACTCCGGGGAGCCTATTCATTTCCAGATTATTCGTAGGTTTGATTATGAATTTCACTGATTTTTCGACCGAAATGTCGCGGGGGTCTTTGGTCTGTTTGGCAGTCGAAATCGTCGTTCCGTGTTTTCAAGCCCGGAGCCGGCGTTGCACAGGATTAGGCGAGGCTCGGTGAACGGTTAACGAGCCACCCTTGTTTGAGCTAAACTCGTTACCCCGGTGCACCGTGCCACGGGCGACGAAACCGCATGCACAAGAGTCGCCGGAAAGATAGGTGTACACAAAGATTTTTCCACCCACAATCGGTACACGCTTCTCGCTAAATTTCGTCTACCTTAACGAACGAGATTCATTTTCGACCCGATGAATTTCCATTTCAATTACACGCCAAGAATCGCTTTGATTTCGATTCGAATTTACTAATTCCGACCCCCTCCCAGGCTCGGTGCGAAAGAACCGTCCGACAACAACGGCTCCCGAGATGTTAAGCTCGTTTCTTAACCGGCTTTGTCACGCTAATGGGGATTGAAGTACAAAAGCGATGGAAGGGTTTAATCGTAGACAGTTTGAGAAGTAATTTAACGTTACAGCTTCGAACGATTCTGCCTCGCAAGCTATCGTGAACTAGAAAACATCGTTCGGCCTCTTTGGAAAGAAATTTTATTATTTAATATTTTTCCATCGTCGTCGATTTTTGTAGAAAGGAAGGAGAATATTTTAAAGAGAAAAGTCCGCGAAACTTGGTCGAAGATCCACTAAATAAGCGAATAATTAATTGTCAGAAGTTTCCGGCCGTGGCAGACGCGCCCAGAAGTCATCAAAGTCTCCGGCAACGACGCACAACACGTACGAGCCAATTATTCAGAAACAGGTGCGCCATTGCGATTCGAGATTACCGAGCAATGTGTCTCCGAGATAAGGGAGCCCGTCTTTTTCCGCGACGAGCAACTTTTCGTCGTAAATTCAAATGTATCCGAGTAATCGTGGAGCAAGTTTAAAAGGGGAAGCCCGGCGGAGGCCATTCCTTCGCCCTAAAACGGAATTCATAGCTCTTGGAACAAAGTTCTGTATGCTAACCGTAGCAGAGTTGGGCAAATTACTTCTTCTCTTTTTTTATTATTATTATTCATTTATTGACGGGGAGAAACCCTTCGGTTTTTATTTCAGATTCGTTCTTAAACCTAATTGTTTATGTTTCAAACTGGAACAAACGTAAAATTCTGATTCGTGAATCGAGAATAAAATTCGCCCAACTCTGATCCAGCGGAGCCAGAAGTCAGGCTGCTCTCTGATCGTCCTTGGTGTGTTCTTTCCACTCTCTGGCGAGCAACAGCTCGATCCCGTGCAGGATAAAAATAAGAAGATCTTCCTCGTGCGCCGGGTGCGTAATCCCGTTGAAACGTCGGACGCGCTCTCGCGACCGCTTTGAGCTAACGAGAAGAGAGGAATCGTTCTTTTTGCGTTACAAGGCCGGTTGGTTTGCGTCCGATGGAGCACGAATGTCACGAAAGTCGGCAGAAACTCTGCCACGAAGCTGCTTGAACACGGCTGCCAAGGTTGGAAGAGGGAGAAAAGGGAGGGCTGGTCGATGCGCAGCCCTTGATCTCTCGGGCGTGATAAGAATATCGCCCGTGGAAATGCATTTTGCCTCTCGACGCTATCGTGCCATAAGAGAGAGCCGATCCTCTGCTTTTTCTCGCGGGAACAGCTGACTGAAAGCGTGAACTTGACGATCGAACCCTCCCCTCGACCCTTCGAAAAGCCACCCCTGAAACGGGCACGAATCCTTTTCGAAGATTAGGTATATTTTTTTAAATAGTGAAACAAGTCCATTCTCAATAATCGAAAAAGAAACGTGGTTTAAAGGGGTGGAGAACGTTCAACTTCGGGTTAAAGGGAGTATCGTTGGCCCGTGCATAATTATTTATCAGACACGATTCCCGATGGCGGAGGAAAGTCGATAAACAGAACAGGAAAGAGAAATTGATAGGGGAAAGGAACGTGCGAACGTTGCCAGCCTCGTCTCCCGTCCTCTTTGAATCCTCGTTGCCGCGAATCAGAATTTCAAATGGCCAACGGCGCTGACGAAACTCCAGAGCAAAGTGCTCGATTAATTATTCGACGAGCTGGAAGCCGATGCTCCGTTCTTACGGGGCCGTTCCGGACTGATCATCCGAAATCCTGGCGAATCTTGCACCTTGAGGATCCTCGAGTCTCGAGAATTAACTCGATGAAGGAGAACCTTTGATCGCCCGTCGCTCAAATCTTCCTCCTTCCTCAGATTTCTGCCATCCGGATTCATCGTAAATTCCATCCAAATTTCCCAATTTTAAAATTGGTTACTAAATTGCCCCAGTCTACATCACGAAAAGCAACCCTACATTGATATGGAACCTTTGAAGAATAAATTGTGACTATAAAATCGAGAGCATCGATTCCTAATAATTTACTAGAAAACGAGGAACAGGGGTTAACGTAATGCAGCAAGCTCGGGGGTGTTTCGAAGCCCTCGCGAGCGTCAGGAAATGGCGGCCAGGGGGGATCGGATTTAGGGGTAAATCGGTGGAGAAAGCGAGCAGCGATTCTCCTTTCGCGTGGCGATTGTCCCGGGCGATTCAAGGTGAACGCGACGCGAGCTTTATTCGTTTCAGCGAGCGCGCAGTCGAACGACGGCCGTGGCGGGTCGGTCAAGAGGTTACTGGAGCAAGGTCGTAGCCGTTGGAAGAGGGTGCGACCGTGCCATCCCTCTTCGCGCGTGCCACAGAGAGGGAGAAAGAGAGAGAGGGTTCGCTCGAGAGGGAATGAGAGGCTCATCTTCCCTGCCTACTGCAACCTTTTTTTATTTCCACCCTCGTTACCTTTCGCCTCTGCAGAGGAACTGGAACCGAAGCCAAAGATAGAAGCGGTTTCACGGTGCACGCCCACCCCGCTTCGATGCCGCGAATTAATTCCCTCACGCTGGAGAACAAACCCCCCTCCCCGCCCCTCCTGAATTTTTAACCGTACACGCGCGGGGGATGTGCCGAATTTCCACGAATTTATTCCCCGCTAAAAACGAGAGGATCGACCCGGGAAATTAGCCGTCTCGCGGCTTCAATTTCAATTAACCGAGCGTGATAGGTGATTCGTTTCGATATGAAAATCAACGCTTTTCGACTCCTTTCAGCCGGTGATCCATCGAGTTTTAATCTTTTTCGTGGCCATTCCTTGTACGAACAAATTTAAACGGTACACGTTTGTGAAATTACATTAAATCGTAAGCGAAGGGGTTAATTTTGGTAAGGGGTTTATCGACCCTCATTTTATCGCGAAGAGTTTGAACGCGTTCTCGGGGGTTGCCAGACTCGCGAAACTTCCCCGTTCGGCTGCGGGAAGATGTTTACCTTGATACCGTTCGATCGGAGGCCGTAATCGAGCTTCAGAATTCGAGCGCCGCGTGGAATTTTCGAGGGTCGCGCGCAGAATGCGGGGGCAAGAATCCCCGCGCGGGGGTAAAGACCAAACAGGAGCAAAAAGTCGCGGAGCACCGCGCGTTCGCGTAATCAGAGCGCAATTTCGTACGCGTTTCCCAACAAACGACGAAAATAGATCCCGAATTCTCACGATTCTTCCGAAAGCATTGCTCGAAGCAATAGAAAATAACTCATAATTCTGTGTTATATTTTTCGTTGTAAAAAAAAACGTAGAGAGGAAAAGTTTTGCTGTTAAAGGAAGTCGCTAAAAACTGGAATTCTTTCCAAGGAGATCATCTGGGTCAGCGAAGCGACGAACTCTTTCATCAATCAAACTTCAGGGTGAAAATTGCTTCGCGTTTGGAACGCTCTGAGATTAGTTCTTCGGCTTCGAAAGAAATATTTTGCGCCGCTTGGCGAACACTGTTCTACGTAGACCAGTAAAGGATGAGCCAAATAACCGAACGTGACTCTGAAAATCCCGCAAGAAGCTACTGTATTATAATTTGAACCGAGAAACACGGAACCGTAATTAGCTTTCGAGCCCCTTTGCACCAAGTTTCCCGACGAAAGAAAAATTTCATCGACTATATTTTAGCGAAACGCGTAATTTTCATTGGGAGGCAAGGAAACACTTTTGTCGCGCGATAGAATTATAAATTTCGACACGTGCTGCACAACGTGTTCCAACCGACGAGTACGCGACGTGTCCAAATTAATAATTTTATCACGTAACAGTAGGATTTCCTTGTCTTGTTATGCAAAGTAACGAGAGTTACGATTTTATTCAAGTTTTGGACAATTGTTACGAGATTTGGACGGTAAAATTCTGAGAAATTTCTGTCAATGGCGTCGCAGCAACGCTGTATCTCAATGTTCTCCCTGAATCAGACACCTTCCCGTATATTTAGAGTTCCGTGAAACAACTGCGAGACGCGAATGAGTCAACGCGAGCGCACATTAGGATCGTTGCCAACGAATCGATTGATAGCGACAATGGAGCTTATGATACGAAAGCTCCAACAACGACCAGTGGCGAATACGAAGCTGAAAAAGGACTATGAGAAACGTAAATCCCTTCTCCATGTTAAAAAAAAACTGAAAGAATTCTCACTACGAATCTCTGTTAATAATACAAAAGTAAATATTACAGGCAAACACATCGATTGGTTTTAGGTGTGTTTCCTAATCTATTTCTGTGATAAAAAAAATGCAATATAATGTTCCAATTGCCTCCAAAATATACAAACTCGTATATTCGGAATCCTAGAATTTTTTCACTATTCTACGTTACCCCCTTCCCTTGGAGTTCTAGATCCGCCAGCAGTGACGATCCTTCCGGTACTAAATTCAACGATGAGAACCCGAAGGAGCTCCGGAACGGGGCCGTGGAGAGACACCGGAAACGGAAGCGGATATTCTCGAATTGAATACTGAAAATTGCCATTCTGCGTCGTAAAACGTAGCCGTGGTTATTGCACGATCGTCGGGGAACACCGAAGTCGAGCACAGAATTACGAAAACAGACATTCGACGTGCAACTTCTCCACGAAATTGAGAACAAAAAATTTATAAAAATTAAAGTTTATCTCAGAAATGTTATCCCCAATTTTTGAGAACGTTATTCCAGGAAAAAGGTAAATAATCGCTGGTGTACGGTTTGTGAGGGTCCTGATCAGCCCGGTTAAGTTCGATCGATGGGTACGCGATGCCGTTTATCGGATAACGCTTGCTTCGTCCCGATATTTTGATTGATTCGATTAGGACGGTCGTTTGGCTTCCGCAGCCGCGCTTCCGACCGTTGCCCGATCATTTCTCGTCTCGAGTTTCACCCATCGAGAAGGAGTTGTTTTCCTGGACCGGGGATCGCCGCGGCACTGGCAACTGTTAGCAGCGATGGAATGTTGGCAGGTTGACAACGGCGTCGATCGTTGTTTTTAGACGCTAAGTCTTCGCGTACGGAGGCCCGGCTCTTTCCGCGATTCCGTGTCTAATCGCGAGAAGTGCCCGAACAATGCCTCCGGACAGAAATAATTACCATGTGCCCGCTGGCAAAACGAACCATGACGACGCACCTGAGCCATCTGGGACCAACTGTACCGTACTTAATTCGTGGGGGCCGTACGGGACGTTTAATGCTTCGAGAATTTACGACCGCGAAACAATTATAGAAATGTCGCCACCGGTGGTCCTTCTAGCATTTGTATCTCTATTGTTTCGTGGATCGACGAATTCTTTGAAAAACATTTCCAAGAAATTGTTCAAAAATCAACTCTCGAACAACAGACTCGTTTTAATCGTCTTACGATCCCAAAATAGAGTTTCTATGGATCACGGAATGGTAATGTTCGACTAGTCCTAGTTACCAGCGAAATAGTTGAAATGCACGCGTGTAAACACGTGACGAAACAGCACCACGCGCCGTGAACATCGTGCAACGTGACTATTCCTCTGCAAATACGAAGCTTTGCATCGGATCGCGATCGGATTTCGCTGGAAAATGGTTTCTGCTTACCTCTGGACGTGAGCTTTTTCGTGTTTATAATTTTCGCCGCGAACTCGTGGCCGGTACTCTTCTGGACGCATCGCCGCACCACGGAGAAGGCGCCCCTGAAACAGCCCAAAACGTGGTTTCGTTAATGCGCATCAAATATTAGAACGCCCGAAACGCGATGAAACATTCAACGAATATTCGCCGACGAAAAGCGCTCCAGCCAATCTGTTAATTAAGCTGACTGCAGCTTCGCGGCTGCAGCCTCTCTCAAAACTTTCCGCTACGCCTATCTACCGTATATGTATTATACGTACATATGTATTTATCCCTTAAACTAGCGGTGCTCAACGGGAAACTCTGCTTGGGCCATATTTATAAACACTTTGACCACGTTTCGAACCTGAGTTTCGTGACTAGCTTTATTTTAGAAAAAACAATTAATGAAGGTTTTAAAAGAGTTAAAAGATGCACAAATGGGGAACAGAAAAGAATTGGTGACTGATCTTATAATTAATAGACGCGTTATAGACCATTATAGACGCTATTGCGTGTTTAGGAAAGAAAACGATCGATCATACGTGGTAGATAGATACTAAAATCGTAGGATGTAGGGTTAAGCCGTATGACAACGATAAGGGAACACATTCTAGCGAACCAGCTAGAATGGAAGATCGGAAGGTTAAGCACCCTTAAGCACTATAGGACACATTGTTGTCCGCTAAGTCTTTCTCAGCTATGGATTATAGGGGATACAATGTCCACTAAAGCTTTCGAAGGTTAAGTAGCTAAGCAAGTTGCTTTATTGTCACCTTGTTTCCGCCGATCATGCGCGCTTCTAGCTTCGTCTCGAATAGCAATCGACGTATGTATCGTCAACTCGCAACCACGTGCACTCCAAAGAGAATCAGAACCAAAGTAAAAATCGAATATTCTTTTAATGCATTTCACCGTAGAGAAGGGTTGGTGTTTTCGAAGATGGAGAATCTTGGCGGACCGAGTCAACCAACAGACATTAATAACCACGGAAAGACGAAGTACCGCGTGGATGGACTTCGAAATGCGAGTGTTTTGTCTTAGGCCGCGCTTTGTCTACGGATAATCGGCGAAAGAAACGAAGCCACGGTGGGCGAAGGATGACCCAGATCTCTTTCGATGCAATTAGCAAACGGAAGAAGGCAGAAATTGAAACTACGGCCTCGCACCGGCTCCCAGAACCGTTATTTATTCGCGTCCCGTTGATTGTTTCCCACGATCGGGATCTCCCGGCAACCACCATCGCAACGCAGGCCGATAATGCGCGATCGTTTTCGCCTCTGAATCGAATAAAATAAATTAATATTCCCTTCTGTGAAAGGATGACGTTGGACAAATGAATTCTTCCCATTTTTAGCACGTTCAAAAAAATAATAGAAATCTCTGGTCCAGGCGATGAAGATTTTTTTCGAAATTCTAAACCGGAATAGCCCCTCGAATACATATTCCTGGCATCGTTCGGAAAGTTAATATTAGTTCGAAAGGCAACAGGTTTCCTATTCGCGGTCTAAATCCTTCAACGAGCGCGAGAAACGAAGATTGAGACGTCGACGGACGAGCGTCGATGCGTCGTAAATCGACGGTTTTTGCCAGCCGGGGAGTGGAAGCACGCAAAGAAAACGAGGCGCGGTAATGGCTCGATCGTAATTGGTTCTCAATAGGGCGAAAAGAGACTCGCGTCACGGTCCATTCCACCGGAAAAATCGTAATCGCGCTAACGTTCCCGCGGGAATCGTGAAACTGTTCCCGTGAACTTTACGGCGGCGAATTGTCGTCGGGCTCTACGCGACGTCGGGGTAATTGGCAGAATTTATTGGACGTTGATTCCTTCTACGACTTCGTTGAAAACAATAAGGGTCTCGTTAAGTACTCTGCTGCCGGGAGTTTTCACGCCGGACGCGAAAATAACTCCGCTCGATACTGGCGCAAGCTTCGACAAACAGTCGTTCGTTTTTCGCGTTTCAACTGAAAAAAAGATGTCAGAAATGCCCATCTTTTGGACAGAGAACGTTTTGGGAACTCCAGCTATCGTTCGAAGATTATTCAGCAATCTGAGAATCGGTAGAAACGTAGAAATACTAATGGACTTTCATTCAACAGAGGGCTACGCTCGAGTCTCGCCTTTCTCGCAAGCACTCGACCTACCATCCAATGTCCCTGGTGTCCAAAGCAGAATATGAGATCTACAATGCATAGTTTTGATCCCAGAATCTTAGAAGTTGAAGAAAGCTTCGTGCCAGGGTAATTTCTAGGGACTTTAAGGGCCCAAGTTTCGAAAACGATAAACCAAGGACTCCGAGGAACGCTTCTAGAGCGCGTGAACTCCGCGAATGTCATCCATCATCCCCTGGGCGTAGAAAGAGAAAGAAAAAATGGCGGAAAGGCGCGAAGCGCGGTAGGACGAAAGGTCAAGCCCGGGTACGAGGACGCGATCGTGTTGCGGAGGTTCGTCGCGCGTATCCTTCCTTAAGTAGTTCAAGGCAGAGCGCATCGGCGCAAACGCAACTTTAATGTTTCATCCTGCGGGCGTCGGCGTCGTTGCAGGTACGCGTCAGCGCCGCGGCGCTCCTGCGCTGGTCACGCCGCGCGTTTCGCGATGAAAAAGGGCGAGGCGGCAGGCTTGGCCAGCAGTCTCCATGGAGACCAATCATTACCGGAGATTGCACGGTGACCTACGCGATACACCGAGGGATCCCGCGATCACGTGCTTCTTTCGAGAACCGTTGCCTCCTGGCCCGTACGCTCCTCGAAACCCTCCAACGTCATCGACACCGTTCCCCCGCTTCGATGTTGACTTTCCACGATCCTCGTTTCCGCCTACATCGCCCCGCCAAGTCGATTAAACCGTTATCAGAACTGACACTGGTTGTTTCAACTTCGAGGAACGCGATTGTTCGCGGTCTGATCGATTCGGGGTTGTATAAAGGGGATTCCGGTTAAATCTAGATTACGTCTACCGCAAGACAATTGTTCGGGCTTTGACTGATTGGTTGTATCGGGAGGATTTAGTTAGGATATAGATTAGATCTAGATTACCGGGTCTAAGCTATTCGAGTAATTTAACTTCATCCTTTGATATTTCCAACAAGTATAATTCAGCTGTTTCTATAGGGTTTTTCGATAAGATAGAACGCTGTATCAATTGCCGTGTATTCGCAGTGCTTTGGAAAATATCGGAATTTAGTTGAAATTTAGAGTAGACCTTTAATCTAAGTCAAGTTGATTAACCCAGAATTGCCATCATAATTTCACGAGCAAGTGGGTCGGATTAGCCCCCTATCGTCATCCACATTGTTCGTTTCTGAAGTGAGATTTTAATTTCAGGAGAGACTATTGTTCGAGCTTCGTCCGATTGATTGTATCTGGAGGATTTAGACGAAATCTAGATAAGCTCTAGGCTACTGTCCAGGTTTGGGGGTAATTTAGCTTAGATTCTATTTGATCCGAGTCGGGTTAATTAACCTGTAATTGTTGGAAGCATCGTAATTTCAAGAACGATCGATTGTACCCTTTCAACCCTTCCAGAGTATTAGCCCGCGATATTGTAAGAGTAGATTTATAAGAAGGATTTGAATTGAATTTAGATAAGGTGTATGCTAGCTCCAGGGTTCGAGGTAATTTACACTCTGTTTGATCGGAGTCTATTAACCCATAAGAATCGTTAACATTTTAGTTTCGACCCCGGGCAGATCTATTGTTCGCACCATCGACGTCGTTGCTTTAATGCTAATTTCCCAAGTCGATCAACCTGCGTTCTTATTGTTTGATTATTCCAGAAGTCGATTAACCCTTACATTGCTCATTGTTAGTCGGTCTGTGTATACAGGAACACAAGTACTCGACAAAAGATGATAAGCTGGTTCCGAAGTCTACACCCTGAAAGATTCGTATCCTTCTTATTCCTTTACGTAGCTCGAGACGTTTCCAATTCTGTATAATGTAGCACGAAGCAATAATAATGCTTGCAGCGTAGTTCCAAACGAGTCGATTAATTGGTAAGTAAATATACCGCAATTAGCTACCGAATTCCGTCGTTGGTAACCTTAACCTTCGATCTATAGACGTTCTTACATTCTTTTGCTTGCATAATGTAGTGCTTACGTCCTTAACCAACAATATTCCATTGAATCTTTATACGATTTCGTTCGCTAATAGCTTTATGATAGACTCCAAGGGCTGTTGTGCTCGATTCCCGCGATCCTCGTATCAATTTGCAAAAAATCTCTTACCATTATAGTCTGACAAATGCATGAAAGTTAAAAGCAATCCTCCGTATCGATGGTTACACATTACGAACAATTCCTTTTCAATCTTATTTCTTTAGCTTTACGTTTTCTATTTGGTAAATAAAATCGTTGACGGTAGAACAAAATAAATGCCGGCAATTCTCGATCCTCGTAGAAATTCGTGGTATCGAATGCACTTGGCCGGGCGCTATTGCGCCCGCGATTAATCGCGCTTGGCGAACGCTCGACTCGACTGGCACTTGGCGCGGAATCGTCCCTGTTTTGTTCACTAAAACGAGCTTCTGCGACGCGGATCATCCGTGCCAGTAGCGGAAAACGCGCGTAATTAACGAAAATCGCGGGAACGTTTGATTGTTCCAAGCCGCGACTCTATTTTCGAGACGGATTCAAAAGGGTCCTTTCAAGATTATTTCCCCCCTTAGAAAAAATCGTAAGTCGACCTAGACTTTTACACGTTTCGTAGAAAAAAAAATTGCAGGAGAATGCGAGCATGTAAAAATTTTTTATAGTCGCGATGAATAGTCTTTGACGGTTTAAAAAATGAAATTTCCTCGATCCTGGCACCCTCCAGCGACTCGTCCCCGGTTAAACGACGATTGACGATCGCCGTGGAAGATAGGCGACCGATCGACGGGGCAGATTCCGGGTGAAAGAGGATCCGGCCTCGCGAAGATTTCGCGAAATATTCTATTATGGTCCCGTGGAATCAGATTGGAGCGAACGGAACGGCCAGGACGTTAGACACCGCGCGTAGATTCCAAGAAAATTGAAATGCGCCGGTGGCACGGTCGACGAAGGTGGAGGAACGAAATTTCTCGATCTAAAGATAGAATCCT